ACGTTACGAATAGTTGCTCTTTTTAACATACCCTTTTTCTGTACCCTAACATTGTTTTAGACAAAATGTTGTGAAAAATCGAATTACAGTAAAAAAATATATATGGTTTCGTTAAAAAAAGAAAAAAATATAAGTATGCGGAAAGCTAGACATTTTCAAACTATTCAATCCCCTCCGACACACCTTTTCTGTATCTCTTACTATTCATGAGATATAACCCGTCTTATCAGTTGCAAGTACTTACTCTGTATAGCAAAAGCAGAAGTAACAACTGATTAGAATCCTACAAGGACTAAAAAAACTTATATTTAATAAGTTCATTTTTTCTAAATAAATTTTATTTAATAAAAGACTAAATTAGTAATGTCCTACATTCGATATATTAGAATAAGTTATAAGTGCATGGACAAATATTAATAAAATAATACAAACAGAATAATGTAATAAAAACGTAAAGTTGGAAATTTAAAAAGTATTCACACAGTAATGATTCTAACGGTCAAGTCATAAAACTTTTATTCAGAAACTCCAAAGCAAAACAGAAACGTCGTAAGTGTAAACAGCACGCCTACAGTTGCGTCGTTAACAGAATTTAAACGTTAGTTTCTGATTGTATGTAGTACCTACAGTAATCATGTCTACTAAGAAAACTAAACTATCAATTTCTGCACGAAATCAGATTGCTCCACTACATTCCAGTAATAAAAGTTATCGTAAACTTGGTAGAGCTTTGAATTCAAGTTTTTGAACAGTACTGTGTATAATTAAAAAAATATGAAGAAACACAATGAAAATAAACAATAATTAGTAGTATCAGTTAATTATATTATTAATTAAAGTTGACAACAAAATAAAAATTGTAGCTACAAATAGGCAAGGCATATTATATCGAAAAATCCTTTCACAAGTGTTCAGAATTTAGCAGCTAATATAGCGGCTATGTCGAGTAAACTTACAATAGTGCTCCAACTATAAGAAATGTGTTACATAATCCTTAACTATATAGTAAATTACCGAGAAAGAAACCATTTGTACGCAAATGAAATAGGTAAAAGCAGTTGGCTTTTGCTAAAATTTATATAGAAAATCCAATGGAGTTTTAACAAAATATTATAACAAAAACCGAATTGTGAACTTCAACAAAGGAATTTGCAATTTACCGTCAGATATGGTAGAGATGCATAACACATGACGGAATTGCAAATGTTGCATTAATTGATGACATAGTGAATTCTGACAAATGTACTGATGTCTTGTATAGCAATTTAGCAAGCAGTATAGAAAAATCAAGAGCAACTGCGACTTCTTCTTTTCAACAAGATTAGGATCCTAAACACTTGAAATGAATTCCACGAATTGAAAATTTATGGCGCCTACTTGATTTATTCAAATTATTTTTATTGTTTCCAGAATTATTAATTATTAAATGAATATAGAACACGAAAGAAGATACAGAGATTTTGCTACGAAGATATTTAAAACATTGAATAGAATTATTTACTATTAATTTATTTTGATTTTAATTTTTTTATTAATTTATTATTGAATGAAAAATTTGGTTAAACTTTAACAGCGCTGGGAAAGAGCCAGAGGCTCTGTAATCCTACCACAAGATAATTTAACCCAACCTAACCTAATGTATCTTCGATATAAAACAAAAAGGGTGGGAATAAAAAAATCTCTGTCTTCTTATGTTATAGATATTTACGAAAAACAAAAGTACAGTAGAACCTAGATTATCCGATTTAATTCGGTACTTAACAGACCAACTAGAGATGAAAAAAATTTTCCAAAACTTATTTGTAAAATTATATCATATGTACTGAGGTATGATCCAAGAATCTGACTTATTGATTTCCAATTTAACTAAGACTGGGCAATATAAATCGCGGAAAGTAGCGATTCGATTCGAATCAAGGTCTTACTATATTCGGTATGGAATAAAAGAAAAACACTTTTTTTGTTCTTAAGATACAGAAGTCTAAGATATTCACTTCAACGATGACCTATTTTTAAGTATTAGAAACATTTTAAGATATAACAATAGCTAAAAGATCTTGAGAATACTAAATAGAATGTCCTTGAGAACGTATGTCAAGGATATTAGTATCTAATTACCACTGCAAATTTCTATAGGATGTCCAGTCTCTTCTGGCCTTGGCCATTCTTTTAATACCTTTTTAAGTACTTAAATGCTCTCAGAGAATGTTACTGTTACCGTTCAGAACCTCTGTTGTAAATTAACGATTATTCAAACATATTAAAATTTTACGTGTATCTGGAATCGTTCTGGAGTTATTCGATTATTCCAAATATTTATTACGGGATGAGCAACGTATGATAATAAGTTGTCACTGTGGTGAACATGCTAGTTGTTTTACAATTTTATTATAAATAAATAACGAAGTACATGATCAAATTGGAATGTGTAAATAATGCATGTAAGCAGCCAAGTTATATAAATACATTTATTTATTGTGACAAATTAAAGTACTGATATTTTATTTTAACCCTTTCGTTATTAATGACTACAAAGATACCTGTAAAAATTCCAAACTGAAAAACTCTAATTCAGCCTACTCTTAAAAATTAATTATTCTGACATGTATTCGTTTATAATTCATTACATAAATTAAAATTCCCCTTCAAATAACATGATTACAAGGTCATTTACATGATGCAACAAAATAACTAGCATTAAACTCAGTATGCAGCAAAATGGAGATTCATGATTCATTTATGTCATATAACAAAATATATTTATAGTTAACTTCACTGTTCCAAAGGGTTAAACTAATTTCAATACTTTAGTAATACATATAATTAGTTATGAAATTACTGTTGCTTTTAGTAATAAACTATAACAAATACAAGATAGTTAAAAAATTAAATGAATCATTTTATTGGTTTCATTTACGAATCCTGAAAATATTCTTTTGAGCCAACAACATCAGGTTTCATTGTTTTCTTTCCTGGTTTCCAACCAGCAGGGCATACTTCTCCGTATTTATCAGTGTGTTGAAATGCTTGCACCAAGCGTAAAGTTTCATCCACAGATCTTCAAAAAAATTATATTTATTAAACAACCAGACATTGTAACAAATTACATTTTTATTTTTATCTATTAATTTATAAAATATCTTACCTGCCAACTGGTAGGTCATTGATAGTAACCTGACGTAAATTTTGCTTATCATCTATGATGAAAAGACCACGGAATGGAACACCAGTTTCCTCATCAAGTACACCATAATCACGAGCTATTTTGGAACTCTTGTCAGCAAGTAAGGGTATATTCATTTCACCAAGACCACCTTGCTTACGGGGTGTGTTTACCCATGCTAAGTGACTGAAGTGAGAATCAGTTGACGCTGCTATCACTTTGCAACCGATTTTCTCAAATTCATCAACGCGATCAGAGAAAGCAATGATTTCAGTTGGACAAACAAAAGTGCTATACAATTAGAAATCATTAATTATTATATAAATGAAATATACAATGTCACACAAATATTATTACAAAACGTGGTACTTACAAGTCTAATGGATAAAAGAATAGGATAACATATTTTCCAGCATAATCAGAAAGTGAAATTTCTTTAAATTCTCCATTAATAACAGCAGTGCCACGGAAAGCAGGAGCTGGTTTTTGAATTGCAGGAACTGGCATGATGATTTTTTATACTTCTATAAACAAAATATATAAACATGTACTTCAACACAAAACTATTTAAATTTTCTTAACATATATAAAATAATATTACATAGCAAAAGCTAAGCGAGTATTGTCAAATTTAATGTTTACTTTTTTAATAGATTCTTATAGATCTAATTTCTTAATAGATTCTTAAATCCATTTTTCATGTTTCTTATGTAACACATATTTATAAAATGTTTTGCTTTTTACTTGATAGAATGTAATTCTAAGTAATTCCTGTCTATGATAAAAGTGACACTGTTTCTTAGTTTCCGAGATAACTGCAGAAATATATGTACATATACATATATATATATATATATATATATATATATATATATATAT